ATAAAATAAAATTAAAAATTAAATAAAATTAAATTTATTAAACGAATCAAAATAAAATAATATAACATAAAACAACATAAAAAAGAAATTAAATGAAAACCAAAAGCTAAATAATATACAATAATAAAAATAAATTGAAATAAAAACTATAATTTAAATTCTTAATATCATGACAAAACAAAAGTAATTAAAATAAGAAAACAATTTGAAACATAATAACATCAAATAAAAGATTCAAATTAAATTAAAAAAAATGAAAAAAAAATTAAATTTAATTAAACTACTTATTTTAAACAAAACAAATAAAATAATATAGAACAAAATGAAATAAAACTAAAATTAAAAAAAATTTACGTTACTGAAATAAAATAGTATAAATTTAAATTAAATAACATAAAATAAAACAATTAAAATAAAAATTAAAAACTAAAAATTAAAAAAAAAAATAAATAAAACAAAACAAAATAAAAAAAAAATATAAAAAATTTTAAATAAAATAAAATAAAAAATACGGAAAATAAACTCAATTAAATGAAATAAAATAAAATGATATAAAACTAAAATAAATAAAATTAAATATTAAAATTATCCTACATTTTATTTCAGAATAAGATAATCAAAATAAAACCAAAAAATAAAAGAAAATAAAATAAAATCAAAAAATAAAAGAAAATAAAATAAAATCATATATAATCAATTAAAGACTACTAAAATAAAATTATAGAAATAAATTAAAATAAATAAAAGAACTACATTAAAACAAAATGAAATATACTAATATAAAATAAAAAAAAAGAAATAAAATAAAATGAAATAAAAAATTAAATAAAATAACATCAAATAAATAAAAATATTACAAACTAAAAAAAAAATACAATAAAAAAAAAATAAAATTAAACGATAAAATAAGATAAAATAATTAAAATAAAAAGTATAATTAAAAAATAAATATTTAAAAAATTTTTGAAAGTAAATTAAATTTCATTTGATAGAAAAATTTAAGAGAAAAAGAAAAAAATAAAAAACTAAACATAGCAAATTAAAAGAAAATAAAATATCAAAATTTATAAAAATAAATAAAGGTAAATAAAATGCAATAAATAAATAATATAAAATAAATAAATTGAAATAAAAAAACAACATAAAATGAAATGGAATGAAGTAAAATAAAATTAAATTTAATGAAATTAAATGTATGAAATAAATGAAGCTACTACTGATTTGAATAAAATTCAAAATTAGTCTAAATTAAATAATATAAAAAGAAATTTGAAATAAAAAAATTTAATCGGCTAAAAAAAACGAAAAAAAAAATAAAAAAAAGAAATATAGTACAATGCAATGCATAATTAAAACAACAAAGTTAAATAAAATAAAAACAATAAAAAAAACAGAAATAAATAAATAAAATGGAATTACATTACACCAAACTTAACACAATGAATTTAAATTTAATTAAATTTCGTAAAATATTACAAAGCAAAATTAAATAAAAAAAATTATATTAAATATTAGAAAACAAAATAAATTCAATTTCACCTTAAACACACTGCAGAAGCCAATTTTATTATAAATAATTTCCAATTAAAAAAATGATAAAGAAATTTAAAAAAAATAAACAACAACAATACCTATAAGTGGCATTGGCAATTTGTGAAGCTGTTAATTCTATTGTAGATTTTTGCGTTATAAAATTCTCACTTCAATTTATCACAAACGACATAAGATATACACACACACACATATACATATACACACAGTTTGGCGTTCATAGTCAAAGTTTAAGGCAAGGCAACCAAAACAAAAGTTTCACAAAGTGATTCTAACAAATGTACAAACGCCTTTTCTTTGGTCATGCAATTTATGTGCAAATACACATACATACATACATACATAAAAATGTTCATACGCGCATATATGCTTCCATGTACATATGTACATATGTTTACTTTATAAGTGTGCATGTACACGTATGTACGTACGAGTGTGTGTTTAGCCTGTGTGCACACATACTAAACATGGAGAGGCAATTAAAATATTTCACTATTTTATGGACTATAAACAACTAACAGAAATACCAATAGACGACTATTGCTTGTACGACCCAAACCTACTAGTAATAGTTATTAGATAGATGGATAGCAGCAGCAGCAGCAGCAGCAGCAAACAATAACAATTGCAATAACAAAAATTATAGGAAAAAAAAAACTCATTAAGAACACAACAATAATAATACGTACAAAATATGGCATAGGAATCGAAATAAACGACGGCAATACTAACAATAACAACAACAGCAACAACAACAATGAGCAGCAGTAGCAATAGCAATAGCAATTATTTGTAGCCACAAACAATCATAACATATCAACTATAAAATTATAGTGGAAAACAAACGATAGCAATAACAACACGTCAACAGAAACTACAACAACAACAACAGCAACAACAACTACACATTTGTGAATTACAAGAAAAAAATAGTTGGCAACATTGTAACGCTACTGTATAAATAAATTACGTAGAGTCTTCCCCAGCAGTTGGCATGAGGTGTAAGCTTTTGCGTACCAATAGAGGTTATGGCACATACGAGTGCGTATGTACATATATATACACACATATACATATCTACTTACATAGTTGCTTTAAGCGAAAAGCCGAACATACAGTGCGAAAAATATTCTGGAGATGAGTCAAAGAAGAAACCTATAGCAGCCCCCAGGCAAGCCCAAGCCAATTATTATCGAAACTCGCCCACAGGCTCACCCATTTAGTTGGTGTTAGCTTCAACGCGCTAAGAACGCGTGTACAATAGCTGACTGCGGGCCAAAGGCTAGGCAGTTGGACAGAACGTAACTCAGCCTTAAACGGATCAAGGTGTGCGACATGTCCGGATACTATTTTACCCAAAAAACACCGGAAGATGTGGACTATACAAAGTGTTGAATGGAATGACTGTTGATGTCTATGCAGACTGCCGACATTGTAAGTAAGCTCAGTTTCTAAGAAAGAACAACATCTGAACTGAAGATTCTAATTATTAAATGCCTTCTACAACCTTCTAGAGACCAAACATCTTGACGAGCGCTTACCTTGATGGAGGGCAACGTGAATTCAAGAATTGCCATCCCCTAATACAAGCGAAAACATCTGCTCTTTTTTAACGGAGCCTTCCTGACATCAGACTGTGTATTTCCCCACACGCTATTTGAACCACTGAGTGCGCCTCGCAGGTGGAAAGCAGTCAGTGCCAACGTACTAGTAATAATCCAAAGACTCGGTACTCAGCGCCACTTAGAGTGGGCGAGAGCAATGGTGAAGACAATAAAGACACAGTTCGGGGCAATCACTTCACTGCAGTTAACCGCAAATTCCACGATCGTATAGAGAAGTAGCATACAAGCGGCGTCACAAGGCGTGACGAAGTAATGTCATCTACAAGTACATCCAAGGGAGCAATTTCGGCTGACGCTGGACCCTGAACACCAACAGAAAGGATAGGCGAAATAACAAGTCAGAATATAAAGAAAAGACCACCAAAAGGTGTAAATCTATACAAAGGTATCTGCTTAGCTTAACGGTAAGGTGCATGCGGAAGCGTCAGACAAGCTCATGCCGTCATTTGAGTAAGAGTGGAAGTTCAAAAGGAGTAAACCTCATTAATCGTACTGACTTTGCTGCGCTAGCGTAGCTAAAGGGAACGGTTCCAAACCGTCTAGAGCAAAGTGAAAATGCCACGCTGGTGGTGGTGTATATAGCCTTAATACTCCCGATTCCTAAGGCCGAAGTATACGAGTAGATACCGTTTATGATGAAGTTGGTTGATGCAGATATATTGTAGAACCCGAATAGACTTACATGGGATTGGAAGGTATTTTACCTTTCTTAGAGGCCGAACATTTATTTAACCCAGAGCATAACAGGCGGCCGCAAAAGCTGAGCGTTTAACAGTGCATACTATCATTCAGAAGACCAGGTCTCGAGACCTAGTTCGACAAGCAACCAAAATTCTAAAAAATCTATTGCGGTCCTTTACTCAGGTAGGGAATGTCAATTCCTCCGAATTTATTTCTGACATTAAATAAAGCTTCTCATAAGAATTCATCGGCTGTTCGGAGACGGCTGCAAATAAACTGTAAGTTCCTTCATTTGCTGGAAAAACATCAAGACGCACAACACATATTGGAGAAAGAGCTCGACCGAAAGTCGTTTCACCGGTTACAAAACGCCAATTATATAATGACAAAATGTCATTCCTTCGTACCAAACTAATAAGCTGTCCTTGATAAGAAGCCATTCTGAAACAATAGAAGACCACCCACCAATTTGCTTGATCAGTTTCGATGTCGGAGAAGAAAGGGTAAAATTAATCGGCATTACCGGCCCTGCCGAACCATAAAACTCCTGCGCATTGAGGCAAACTCAAACTAAAAACGAGAGTTCCTTGGTAAATAAGTAAACTGACGATGATCAGTTTATAGAAACCGGAAGTATTCGAACAGAGCCTGAGGCGAACGTGTCCCAGGTTGCAAGTGCCACACAATCAAAGCACTGCGGCAACCCTGCCAAAACCAGGTGTGTACAGAATCTTATAAGCGACAAAGTTGCAAATTAAATGCGAACTAAAATAAAAAAAAATAATACTAATAATAAATGTATAAAGAAGAAGAAGAATAGAACAAATAAGAACATAAATAGACTTAACGCAAATATGAAATGATAATTACACAGAAAATTCGCATATTCTCGGTATATACATACACGTATGTATGTATGCATGTGTTTATATATATCAAAAAAAAAACTTACCAGCTTCAATGTACATATGTATGTCTGTATGTATGTAGGTATGCAGCAGGCAGTTCTTTATCAGTTGTTGCGTTGCGTTCAAACGGTAGCATTGCGAGGTGGAGCAGTGTTAACTGTGTTTGGCATCTGTTGTTATACAATTGTTGTTGTTGTTGTTAATTTATGTTTATTTTTTATATAATTTTTTATTCTTTTTGTCGTCTATGCATAATACTTGTTTGTAGAATTCAGTTTCACGATTGGTAAGCGTTGCTGTGAATGTATATATATGTAATACATACAGCATATGTATGTATATGTAGATGCTTAAATGTATGTACGAGTATGTCTGCCTCTGTTGGCATTATTCAGAGCGAACGCGTAATTTCAACTGTTGCGATCCATATAAAATTGTTTTTATATTTGTTTTAATGCATGTAAATACGAAATATACATAGCTATACAGCTATAAATGGATATATGTACATATATGCATATATGTATGCATGTATGTAAGTAATAATCACTAGGAAGCTTCACAAAAAACGCTCAACTTTTGCACATTCGTTTATATGTATGTACATATGTGTGTCGCTCAACATATCTATATGTCTGTCTGTATGTATGTATGTTTTCCTCCACTAAACGTTCTACAATATAAAACACACTAACACAAGCACATCTACCACCACTGACCGACACAAATGGCATACGGCAAATTAATTATGCTCAGCATGTGGATTGATATCTGTTAAAGCTAAAGCAGACGTGCATACATTTTTACATATACAGCATATATATATATACATATATATGTGTGTGTATGTATGTATGTATGTAATAGACAAACGGGCAATCCCAAGTTTTGTATGCGCCGCTCGAACTCAATAGCGCTTTCCGCTTAGCGTAAGTTGTGTGGCTGGCTGTTTGGCTGGTGGACGGCTGGACTGCTGTACTGGTGCACTGGTGAGCCGGTGAGCCGGTGGGCCGGTGGGCTAGTGGGTTGCTTGTCTACTTGTAATATATATGTATATATTCTTGTATGTATGATGTTTGTTTGTGTGCGCTTGCAGATTGTACGTAGAACGCTACTTGTTATTGTTGTTATTGTTGTTGTTATTGTTGTTGTTATTTTTTTTCGCGTGCCCGTCTGCACGCGTTTGTTTACACGTAATTTTTTGGTGCGAATGCTTCGTTGATAACTATCGGATGTATTACTTGTTCACATAAAGACATACAGGCATACAGACATATGTACAAATGTATGTAAATATGTATGTTATAGAGGCACGTCGACGCACATTTATTTGAATGATCGTGCAAGGATCTGGAATTAAAAAATAATAATTAAATTAATTCGAATACATATAAATATACATACATACACAGATATATATATGTCTAATATATTTTATTGGTATAAGAATAAATAATAAATTAATAATAAATAATAAAAAAAACACCCTTTATTTGTAAATTTATGTCCATATATAATTGCTCAATGTACATTTAGAGAGTTTTGTTTTTTGCCATTATAAATGTGGACATAAATTTAAAAAATAGGGTGTTTTTTAGACATATGATTTTCATGAAAAAGCCAAACACATATATTAGATGAGTGCATAAGTTCGTGCCCGATTTCAAGTGCAATCTGAAATTGAAATTTTTTGAAGAAAGCGCTTTTATTAATCAATTATGTATTCGCCATCATGTTCGGCAATCCACTTCCAACGTTCAACCAATTTACGGATGCCTGATTCATAGAAATCGCGCGGTTTCTCGTTGAAAAAGGTGTCAAGGTGGTTTTTGACGTCTTCCACATTTTTCAATTTTTTTCCATTCAAATTGTTCTGTAGCGATCGAAACAAATGATAATCAGAAGGTGCAATGTCGGGTGAATATGGGCGATGCGGCATGATTTCCTAATTCATCTCCTTTAGAATTGGGCAGGGTCGGTTCTGCAACATGTGGCCTGGCGTTGTCATGATGGAAAAGAACTCCTTTGCGATTGGCCAAAATCGGACGTTTTTCATCAATTGCTTTCTTCAATTCAACCGATTGCTGACAATACTTGTTGGCAGTGATCGTTTCTCCAGCTGGCAAGAGCTCAAAATAAATCACGCCTCGGAGATCCCACCAAATGCACAGCAGTACCTTCATCGGATGCAATCCACCTTTCGACATCGGTTCCGCCCCTTCGTGTGCCTGTTTCCATGTTCTTTTGCGTTGAACATTGTTGTACAAGATCCATTTTTCATCACCAGTCACGAGCCGATCCAAAAAAGGTTCGTTTTTGATCCGTCGAAGCAAAGAAATTGCTGTTGACATACGGTCCACTTTGTTTTTTTTTTTACTCAACTGATCTGGCACCCATGTATCGAGCTTCAAAGTGTACCCAACCTTTTTTAAACGACGAAACGCAGTTGATTTGTTGACGTTCAATTTACTGGCAACCTCTTCCGTCGAAATACGTGAGTTATTCGCAACTAAAGTCCTTAGAACATCGTCATCAAGCTCAGAAAGCCGTCCACTGCGATGTTGATCTTCGAGGTTAAAATCTCCAGAACGAAATTTCGCGAACCATTTCTTTACTGTACGGAGTGCTGGAGCACGGTCCAAATAAACTTTGCGAATATCTTTAGTTGCAGCGCCTACTGTTTTTCCTTTGCGGAATTCGTATAACATAATATGACGCATATGATCTTTTTCGCTGTCCATCTTCCATGCGTCTTTTCACTAACCTTTCCAACGATATATAATATGTATATATTTCTTTCACGAGCGCCACTCTCAAGCGATTCGAACGGCATCCAGCGGAATCGGGCACGAACTTATACACTCATCAATAATTTAACGTTATGACCAAAAGTCATATGTTTTCAAAATGTTTTTGGGCAACTGAACGTCGCAGCTGGCGCTGAATATTCTTTGCCAAAGCATTAATAATCTCAGTCTTATCTGCGTAGACAAAGAACTTCACATGAACCCACATAAAGTTGTCCAGCAGGGTTTAAAACGCATGAACTCTTTTAACGACGAACCCAGCGTTACCCACTACCCGCCCAAATGACCGAAGGGTAATCGAAAAATCCAACAGACCGTTGATCTAAAACCTGTAACAGTCCGGACTGCGCTGAACCCGAAACCGACCGCGGAAGTTCGCTGTTACACTTGTCTCTTACACCAAACAGCTACAGACTTGTTCATCAGCTGCTATAGAATTGCATAGGAGAAAGGAGAGGGGACTTACTTAATTATTTGAAGCAGTCAGTAAGTAAGTTTTGATACAGTGAAGCGAGTCAGTGGAATCAATGTTGGTGAAATGTGTATCAAACTCGTTACACAGAGATCTAAAAGGGTCGTGCATTTCAAAGTTTGTGCCGCATAAACACAATGAAAGGGACCAAAAGTGTCTAGATGATCTCAAAAAGAAATGGTAAAATTGAGCTCGCTAAGTAGCTATGAGCTATCGATAAAACCTCTCATCAACTAAAAGCATCTTTCTACGACCGTGGAGTGTAGGCAGATTAATGAGCCGTAAAAGACTTCTGTAAGAATGCAGGTTCTTATTTGCAGCCCAGTTTCAATTTCTTAAGCAGGAATTGCTTTTGTACAGATTCCAGTTTATCACTACACAATTGATAGTGCGGACTATATACAACTGAGCCATATTCCAAAATGGGTCTAATAAGTGAGGTAAAGAGTAATTTGGTAATGTATGGGTCATTGAACTCCTTGGCCCAAGGCTTAATGAAAGCCAAAACGCCTTTTGCCTTATCACAAAAAAATCTATGTATAATGTTTTGTGGATTATTATAACTCCAAAAAAATGTATCGTATTTAATGCTAAGTTCAACCAAAAGTGAGCTTCATAGCCAAACAAAATTTTCTTGTGAAAGTCGGGTTCGGTGACCATACACAGAGAGTGTGACGCGGCTGATGGTCGTTCGGCTTCACTTCTGGCACAAGTTGGATTTCGTAAGCCCGCAAACCAAGAGCCATCCGCAAAAGCTTCTCTAAAGTGAATGGGCACAGCTCGAATTGTTGGACTCATTCGGATGTTCTTCGAGACTCTGCTGCACAGCAGCAATATTGTCTTCGATACGCTCTGTACGGCGTATCTGAGGATGTGCATTATCCACTAAAGTAAACATGCGGCGAAACTGATCCATGTTTGCTCGAATTACCGGCTTCTGCTGAGCGAGTATGTAGACCAAATCTTGGACGCAGCGCGTGGTTTGATAATAAATTTTCATTAGGAAATGGCAAACCAATATATATGATACTGGCTGCCGCGTTAGCCGAGTGACTATCAGTTCGAGGTATAGAGCGGAAGTGCAATATTTCGAATCCGGGCCAGACAAATCTCCGGAATTATAAAAAACTAATTTAAACCATTTTTTAAAAGCCGTTGCTCTTTGGCAAAAAATGTCAACGCCTATGAAATGAAATAAAAAGCTTCTAATAAAAATCATACACCCCTTCAGAGCATTCTGTAGGCAATTCCCTCACACATATTGCTTGGGGTTTCTTTTAACTCGGTAAATTAGATTATATACTTGATAATAAAAATTTTTTTTTTTGTGAATTTTTGAAAAAAAATTTCTTCGTGGTCTGCTGTTGTCTTGAGAAAATACAACACCTTTTCTACTGATCAATTCTGAACGTTTTATTGAAGGCCTTTTGGCAAGCAGTAGAGATCAGAATTGATCAGGTTCGTTTCGGACGATTCCCCTACAATTCCACCAAACACTCAACATTATCTTGTTTGCCGTCAATTCATGCTTCGAAGTCGTTTGTAGATGGTCACCAACCTTTGACTGGCTGGCATGCTTTTGCAACGCTGTTATCAACTTATATTTATAAAGCATCCCATTACATATTTCTTTGGAAATTTCATTCATTTTCAAATCGAAATAACTTTTCACTTAAATGAAGCTTAGCTACAAATAAAATTCAAAGCTAAATTAGTTCGACTAAACCAGCAGTTGCTATCACCTGCCAAGCACCAGGGATTAAAAACCAGTTGCATTACGCACTGCAGTGAACCCGTGGCCGATACCAGAAGATTGGAAAATGTAAATATCTGTAAGCAAATCTAATAAACAATGCGCTTATTTATATAAAAAGGTTCCTGGTCACCTTACGACCAAAAAAATCGTTTATATTCCACTCTCAGACCTACTCAATTTACCAAACTTAATTTCATAAGAACCGCTTTAATCGTTTCGGAGAGTTATTTTTGCAAACACTGTGACACAAATTTTGATTATTTTTTATTTTGAATATACATATTTATTAATTCAATTTTTTAATTCACTTTTTAGTACATTTTTCTTTTATCCATTTAATTTTATTATGTTTTATTTTATTTTATTTCTATTTATTTCATTTTGTTTTTCACTTTATTTTCTTTTACTTTTTTATGTTAGTTTATTGTAGTCCGCAAGGTTTATAGATTAGAATGTTACAACAAGAGCAAAAACATATATATTTAATGACGAAGTTGGTTCAATTTTGTTTGGTTGCCAAGGATTTTAAAATAAATTTGCATAATTTTATTTATAAAAGCACCGTAATAATTTCACTATAAAACTCGAAAGTCTTTCATTCAAATATTATAAAAATAATAAAAATCACAAATAAAACGTCCTGCATAGTTTTCTGTCCAACAAATGTAGTTTAATTTTCAAAAAAAATTTAATTAAAAACTAAATATTATTTGTTAAGAAAAATTTCGTGAGCTAGCAACTCGAACTTTTGGTGTTATGTAATACGAATGGCATGAGAAAATAATGTCAAAACCGTTAAAAAACTATCAAAATTCCAAACGAACACACATTTTTATAAAATATTTAATATGAAAATCGCTTTTCGCATATTTTCTTTTGGGCTTCGTGAAATTCCTTATGTCTATGTTGTGAGAAAATTGTGTTTAAAAAATGGAAGCGGTGAAAAAGTTTGCATTGTGGTGCATTTGTGGACATAAATTGAAAAAAAAAAAAATTTTAAAAAATTAAAAAATATTATTATGTATTTTCTAAAAAAATTTAAGCAAACTTGCAATATTGTAGCCCCATTTTATTAATTTAGCGTTATAAGTTTTTGAGCTGAAAACTAGTTTGAAGTATTAAATATACATAAATATAACATATGCATATGTAGGAAGGATACATATATTTTTCTGCTTTTAACTCTTAGGTTTTCACGAAACCACGTGTGTACCTTTCTGTAAAACTCCTAATCACCTTAGCTGGTCTTCGGTCACCGGGCCTATGATTTAAACAAAACACGCTACGCCTTACACCTTGCACATAGTAAAAATCGCTTAAACTGTGACTGCGGTGGCATTACAAAAAAAAAAATATATTATATAATTTATGTTTTCTTCTATATAAAAAAATTTTTTACACATTTATTTTATTAGGATCACGTACAAATTTATAGTTTTTAAAGAAAAAAATTTTTTCTTAGATAATATATATGTATATCAAGTCTCGCAAACTGTGTATATGACGATGTTGGTTCGGTAACGTGAACGATTGTCGTAACCTTGTATTCTATAAACCTTGCTTATTCCGTATTATTTTGTTTCAGTATAATTTATTTATTTCTTATTCTTTTATTTTAGTTTATATTTTTTTAAATTTTTTTTAATTTAATTATATTTATATTAATTTTGTTCAATTTAAAAAAAAATATGTAGAATAATAACAATTTTATTTATTTTTTTTTTTGGATTTTTTTATTTTACTAAATTATATTTATTTTATCCCGTTTTATTGTTAAACTATTATTGTATTTTTTTTATTATATTTTATATTTTCCATTTTTTTTTATTTTAAACAATTTATTTTCATTTAGTTTATATTTTTCTTTTTAATTTAATTATATTTAAATTAATTTTGTTCAATTTAAAAAAATTTTGATTAACAACAATTATAATTATTTATTTATTTTTCACCCTTTTTATTTTACTAAATTATATTTATTTTAAACTATTTGATTGTTATTTAAATTACTTAATTTAATCTATAATTGTATTTTTTCATATTATATTTTATATTTCTTTTCATTTGTTTAATTTAAAAAATTTAATTTTCATTTTAAAAAAATTTAGATTAATAAAAATTTGATTTATTTATATATTTTTCACTTTATTTTATTTTTATTTTTCTATATTATATTTATTTTATCCCATTTTATTTTTATTTAAATTACTTAATTTAATCTATTTTATTGTATTTATTTATTCTTTATTTATCTTATATTGCTTTACTCCATTCTTTTTTTATTATTTAATTTAATTTTATTAATATAATTAATTTATTTATTTTATTTTCTTTTCATTTTATCTTCTTTCATTTTACATAATTCAAATTTTTTTTACTTTAATTTATTCATTTATTTATTTATTTTATCTTCACTTGGTTTATTTTATTGTTTTTTATCGTTTTTTTTTTTTAATTTTATTTCATTTCATTTTATTTATTAATTTGGGTCTTTATATTTTTATTTATTTACTATTTAATTTATCATTTGATTTTATTTTATATGTATATATATATATATGTTATTTTGTTTAATTTCATGTTATTTTATTTACTTTTAATTTAATTTATTTTATCCTATTTATTTTAGTTTATTTATTTTATTTATTATTATTCATTTAACATAATTTAAATTATTAAATTTAAGCTATTTTATTTCGTTTTATTTTTTAATATAATTCATTTATTTTATCCTATTCATTTTATTTTATTTATTTTTTTTATTAAAATTCATTTGGTTTATTTTATTTTACTTTGTGTTATTTTATTTTTATATTTAGTTTTATTTATTTTTTTAATTTTATTTACTTTATTTTATTTTTCTTAATATATTTATTTTTTTTTTAATTTCATTTCATTTATTTCATTTAATTTTATCATATTTTATTTTTTTTTATTTCATCTTATTTCACTTGATTTTATTTTAAATTATATTATTTTGTTTTATTTTATCTTACTTAATTTTACTAAATTAAATTTTATTTTATTTTGTTTTATTTTTATTTTTTTATTTTGTTGTATTTTATTATAATTTATTAAAATTTATTTAAGTTTATTTTATTTTATTTATTTTTGTTTCTCTTCTATTATTTTATTTTAATCTATTTTATTTTAATTTAATTTTTTTTTTCAGTTTATCTTAGTTTTTTTTTATTTTATTTTTTTTTTGTTTATATTTTGTTTTATTTTATTTTGTTGTATTTTATTTTAACTTATTTAAATTTATTTTATTTTGTTTTATTTTTATTTTCGCTTCCACTATTTTATTTTAGTTTATTTAATTTAATTTTATTTTATTTTATCATTTTATATTAGTTTTTTTTGTTTTATTTTATTTTTTATCATTTATTCTGTCCTCTTTTTTCATTTTATTTTTTCATTTATTTTGATTTATTTGATTTTAGATTTTCAATATTAAACTTTTTGAAGACTTAGAAAGATTTATAGCCCATTATCAATTTTCCATTAACCGTTAAAATTAACTAACTCACCTTTTATAACTTTATTTCTAGCCGTGCAAAGGCGCATTTGTAATTTTTATAGCCGATTGTATTGTCGTTATTACTGGCTCATGCACATTTCATCAATTTTATAACCGTTAATTACTGCGCGCAGTGAATGTTGCGACAAACTTTTTTCGATGGGATGCGAAAATGTATTACCATTCATTTGCTTGTGAACATGCAATATTTCAAATTGCGTTTTATTAAGAAAATTTCATTATAAATATTTCACTTTTTTATTACAATTTTATTTTAATGCGCTTTGCAATTACCACGTTTTATGAATTTATTTTACAATTTTTAATTTTACTTTTTTCTATTTATTTTTTTATATTTTTTTTTTTTTTTTCAAATATCAGTTATCACACACTATCACTTCTCGCCATCAGCAAGCACTTGCAATATGCGGCGCGCGTAACATGAATGAGTTGCAACTTTGAAAAATAATGATAAAAGCACGAAACTTTATTTTCTGTACGCAAACGACAGCCGAGACTACAATAGCGCACGACGACGACTGATTTGTGAATGAATGGAAAACTCGCGCGTTATTGTCTTTAAATGATTGCTGTTGCCACTGCTGCCGCTGCTGCTGCTGCTGCGGCTGGACATAACAGATAGGACTGCTGTTGCAGCCAAGTCGGGCGCATGCAACGAACGATAGATAACAACGATTGTTGGTAGGAAACTAACAGACAGAGTCGGGCGCGTCGTTACACTTAGATATTCACCTATAATATGGAGATGCAGTGATGTGGTTTGAATGGCGCGTGTTTGGCTCAGCTACGCGTTGCAGGGATTGAGTTGTAAATCTCAACGTTTTTCTTATCATTATATTTGCTGTTTGTCATTTTTATGGCTTGTACTTTAAATTTCGATACCACTTTTTCCTAATAACACCAAAATCGTGCAAACACGCGTGCCAAAAATGAAGTGTTAAAGCGAACGCGCGCTTGCCGGCGCTTTAGTATTAAAGGCGCACACGCTCGCACACAAAAATATTTAACGGAACTTGTTGTTGCTTTTGGTAAATGGCAAGGGATTTTTATGTACATACATATATTCTTTTTGATTTTGTTTTTGTCGTGCGGTGCTTTTTGCGTGCTGTAAAGCACGTAGCTATTTCCTTTTTTCTTTAAAAATAAGCACCAAAGCGCTTACTTGGTTTTATTTAACGGTAATTGTAAATAATTGTAATTATTATAACGTGGCGCCACGCAAATATGCTTAACTGGTCTCTAATAAGCCAAAGCCGCAGCGCGCCGTGTCGCGTAGGACAGGTAAGCAGGTAAGCAGGTATGTAGAGAGTCAGCAGCGGAAGGCGCCTGGCACTTGTAGTGTATTACTTGTGTTTACAAGATTTTTTGCTCTTTTTTGACGCGCGCCACATTCACACTCGTCTAATTGCACTTGTCGCTCACAGTTAAAAGGCACTTAATTGCGCTAATCTTTTCATTTATATTTACTAAGAAAAAACAATCTTTTTTTTTTTTTGCTAGCGCGTTTTTAGATTTTTTATATAAAAAGTTGTGCTCCAGCGTTGAACTAAGTTTGCACGTCTTAATTTAAGCCGCCGCGCTGTGATACTTTACACTTTTTGCACTGATTTTCACACAACAATTGGCAAACGGAGCACCCAAATGGGCCGTACCGCTAACTAAGCAAAGGAAAAATATTTATAACTCGTTTTCATAAGGAGACGCATCGCGCGCGCTACCACACATGCACACAAAACGGTAGAGAAATTTAATAGTAAAACAAAAAAAAAAATATCATTTACGTATTTTTATAAATTTTTTTTTAACAATTTTTCTGGTCAATATCGCCGCGTCGCGTTTAGAGCGCTCGTTGTAGTTAATCAACCGCAGCAGCCGCGTCTACTAAGTAGAAAGTATTAAAACTAATAAATGGTTGGTTGGTAAGCAAGCGAGGTGTTGGTGGTTGTGTAGTGGTGTTGGTGTTGGTGATGAAATTACACTAAATGCGCGCACTTATGTTCACTGTCCGCCGCCGCCGGTGAACTGTTGTATTCTGATTGACTAACCAACGACTCTGAACTCGAACGTTTCGCTAGTAGCTGACTTGGCTGCTGTTTCAACCGTGTACGAACGTATTTTGTGTCGCTCTCATTTTAACACAAATACACACACATACAACGTGCTCGTTAGATAGGCATGTTGATAACACACGAAGAGAGCGCAGTCGCTCGCTCTCATAGCTGACTTTTTAACATGCGCTGTGAACTGTGCGCTTTACGCATTACTGTTAAATGCTGCCGTTTTCATTGGCGGGTTTCTGCAGTCCGACACAAGTTGCATTGCGTACGCGAATGTCAACCGACTTACAACGCTGCATTTGTATGCATTCGTCGTGTAGGTAAAGCCATGAAACTTCGGCTGCTGCCACAATTACTCAGCACAATTTCACTCTCTCTCTCTCTCTCTCTCTCTATTTCTATTAGCTGCATTACAATTAACGCCTGTGTTTAGTTATGTTGTGGTTGGCTTTCTGATGCGTGCGTTTAAGTTAATAGAGCGCGTTAACAGTTTGTGGTCCAAGTGATGTGCCCGAGCGTCAACGCTGACATTGCCAAAATAGCGTGTTAATGCCAAAATTGTTTATCAAAAGTGTTGCACTCTAAAAGAGCGAGCGCGTCTCCTATGTTGTGTGAATAGTTTTCGGACGCACTGTAATGCTACTGTTAAAATGTTAACATTAAGCGTGATACGAGATGGTTAAGGAAATAAATCATCTCAAATTTTACGGTTTCTGCTCACTTCGACTTAAAACCATTTACTCTGCATTGAAACGGAGTTTTGGGGGCGTCTCCTCAAGGCTCTGCTAATTTCAGAGACATATATTTTCGAAGCGTTGGCGGAAAATTAAATGCGAGATGGCTCCAAAATCTCAATGTCTCTCATAGCGTGCTTCATGCTGTCGACACTGCCCGACCTATCTCTATATCGCTGTAAGATGCTAGAGCTTTCTTTTTTGGCGTTACAGTACCGTAAAGGCCTTACAATAGCACAAAATCGCTACCCACTTCTTGTTCGTTTCACACAATAGTTTTCCAAAGCATCATCTATCAACTTCTCTGACGTCCTCAACGAGCCGAATCAGCTGGAGCGCCCTCTTTTCCGCAAAAATCAGCTGATATTCATCGAATTCCTTCTTGAAAATCTGTATCAGGCTTAATTTTTTATAAACTGAAACCAACTATTATTGAATTTTAGTTGACTTACGGTTAATACTGCTGGAGTCTTCTGCTTTGAAGACACAATTATCATATGGAGCTTCTCTCAGCATTGGCGGAATTCTGCATAATATTTCGTTTTGAGATGATATTTAGATGGTCTTCCTTTGTCTTCAGCTCATGCGGATGGACAACAACTTTTGATAATCCAGTTCGGGATATCCTATATTTTGACACAGTTCTTCACTGAAAGTTTGAGTGCTCCAAAGAAGAAGAGAAAATGTGATTTACTGTCTTTCTTTCTGCGTTCGCCCCTTTGCAGAGAATTTCAAGCTCTCTGAGCACATTTCTGACTTCAAATTAACGCTCCTCGTAAAAATCCATCGACCTTTCGAAGGTGCTTTAGAATAAACTGTGGGACCCTCCATTTGTTAGCAAAATCTTTAAGACGTTAATCGCTTTAGCGGTAAAAAAAAGGGTCAAATAATATATACTGATTAATTTACTTTCAAGTTGTTACTGGATACCATTAAATCCCAGCAACGAAACGAGCCATTTGAGACACCACTGTGAATATGTTTAACATCCTTTTTTATGGAATAGATTAGCTGAATTGTCTAGATCCAAGAAGCCATGGTTAGTCGGTTGGTTAGTTGCTTGGGGAGATTGGGGACTTAATCGCCGTCTTCTCGCCTTAAGCGTACTTTATGTTATCGAATAATTTGCTCGATTTCATATATTGTCTTATTTTCTTTCATCAGTTCGGCTAAGCTGGAGCTCGGGGTGGGGGGTCGTGGTATTCGTCACTGACACTCGCATAAGTAGGGGCCGAGAATTGCGTGGTTAGAAAATAGTTCTAAAAGAAGGCCATGCAATCGTGGACATCTGCTCGCATTTTATTCAATGCCACTACCTTACGTGGCGAGCGAGATTAATTGATATTTAATTATCTCACTCATTATATCTCACGGACCCAGCACTCATACCGGGTTCAAACCGTCTTCCTAGCGCCAAGCTCCGTTGGAAAATTACAAGCGGGGCAATTTATTTATACCGAGTGGATTCTTGGAATTTTCGTCAGTTGCCCGACAGCCGTATAGAAAGGAACGAATGAATGAATACTGCGAAGCACTACTCAGTCTTTTCCGTGCTTCTTTCTCAAGTTAAATCTCAAGTGCTTGAGTTTAAATCTCATAGAGCTCTTTTCCCTAGAGATAAAGTCCATCATTATATCCCACCTTATTCGTACGATTCATAAAGACAAGAGCTTTCTTCTTAATTTACCCTCGTTTTTCTGAAGACTCTAACCACTGTGCAACAGAGCAGTTATGCCGGTTGTGTTGCTAGGGTTGTGGTGGGTGTCGCCGTAATGCCGCTGCAAATATTGTCTGTCGACGCAAGCGCTACATACATACATATGTACAGTATATGACCGGCAGTTGCCTCATGAGTAATACTATGGATTCTTGGGAAAAATTTAAATATACTTTTAATTTGCAATTTTGTTTTATTTATTTATTTTTTATTATTTTTTTTTTGTTTTTGCTTTTTTTTTCGTTATGATTATTATTTGCAATTACTACACTTCAATTGACTCAAGTCATTTCGTTGCCGATTTGTCGGTAACTAGGAATATCTGTATGTAATTCGATACATACAAATCTACATATATATATACATATATATGAACAAGTATCTACAATTGTGTCTCTCTGCCAGTAGACAGTGTGCGGGTGTATGTGTGTAGATATGTATGTACGTATGTACATCTGTGTATGTCAATAATGAAGTTGTACGCGCATAATTAACATAAATACATACATACAAATATACAAACATACAAACATATGCACTGAGGATGAGTCAAATTGTCAATACATATACATATGTACATAGTAGATGTATGTATGTTCATATGTTTGTTTACATTATCAATCACAGCGATTGCTTGCTTGCTTACAATCATACGAGTGCATACACACATACATACCTACCTAAATATATACAAGCGCATAGATGTGCCCATGGGCAGTAACGGAATTGATAATTGCTTACTAAGCAATTTATTTTGTT